AAAAAAGCCCAGGACCAGATGGATTCACAGCAGAATTCTATAAGACCTTTAAAGAAGAACTAATACCCATACTCCTCAAGCTCTTCAGAGAAACAGAGAAGGAGGGAGCTATCCCAAACTCATTCTACGAAGCCAATATCACACTCATCCCCAAACCAGGCAAAGACCCAACCAAAAAGGAGAATTACAGGCCAATCTCCTTGATGAACACAGATGCAAAGATCCTTAACAAGATTCTAGCTAACAGAATCCAGAAACACATAAAAAAAATAATACACTATGATCAGGTAGGCTTCATCCCAGAGACACAGGGATGGTTTAACATACGTAAGTCAATAAATGTAATCCAGCATATCAACAGAGCCAAGGTCAAGAATCACATGATTATCGCCACAGATGCAGAAAAGGCCTTTGATAAAATTCAACATTCATTCATGCTAAAAGCTCTGGAGAAAATAGGAATAGAAGGAACATTTCTAAAAACAATAAAAGCCATTTATGACAGACCAATAGCCAATATTATACTTAATGGGGAAAAGCTACAACCAATCCTCCTAAAAACAGGAACAAGGCAAGGATGTCCACTGTCTCCACTCCTCTTCAACATAGTCCTAGAACCCTTAGCCAGGGCAATAAGGCAAGAAAAAGACATTAAAGGGATCCGCATAGGGAAAGAAGAAGTGAAACTATCCCTTTTTGCAGACGACATGATACTATACCTCCACGATCCCAAAAACTCCATCCCCAAACTTTTAGAAATCATAAGTCACTTCGGCAAAATAGCAGGATACAAAATAAACCCACAAAAATCAGTTGCCTTCCTATACACTGATAACGCACAGGAAGAGAGGGAAATAAAGGGAGCAACCCCATTCACAATAACCTCCCAAAAAATAAAATATTTAGGAATTAACCTAACCAAAGATGTAAAAGAACTATTTAATGAGAACTATAAAAAGTTAAAGAAAGAAATTGCAGAAGACACTAGGAAATGGAAAGACCTCCCATGCTCCTGGATAGGCCGACTTAATATAGTAAAGATGGTGATACTTCCAAAATTAATATACAAATTCAATGCAATTCCTATTAAAATCCCAATGACGTACATCACTGAAATACAGAAAACAGTCCAAAAATTTATATGGAACAACAAAAGACCTAGAATAGCCAAAACAATTCTAGGGGATAAAGACAATATGGGAGGGCTATCCATGCCGAACTTCAAACTCTACTACAGAGCTATAATCACAAAGACAGCATGGTACTGGCACAAAAACAGACCCGAAGACCAATGGAACAGAATAGAAGATCCAGATATAAATCCACAGGCCTACAGCCAGCTGATATTCGACAAAGGAGCCAAAGACATACAATGGAAGAAACACAGCCTCTTCAACCGCTGGTGCTGGGAAAACTGGGCAGCCACATGCAGAAAACTAAAAGTGGACCCCAGCCTATCACCATGCACCAACATCAACTCAAAATGGATTAAAGACCTTAACATTAAACCTGAATCTCTGAAACTACTGCAGGACAGAGTAGGAGAGACACTTGAACTAATAGGCACAGGAAGGAACTTCCTGAACAGAGTCCCAGGGTCACAACAAGTTGGAGAGAGACTCGACAAATGGGACTACCTTAAAATAAAAAGCTTCTGCACAGCTAAATCTATCGCAACTAAGCTAGAAAGACAACCAACTAATTGGGAAAAAATATTTACCAGCAATATATCAGACAAGGGGTTAACATCCTGTATATACAGGGAACTCAAGAAACTAATCCCTCCCAAACCTAACAAACCAATTACTAAATGGGCAAGGGAACTAAAGAGGGACTTCTCAAATGAAGAAATAAAAATGGCAAAGAAACACATGAGGAAATGTTCATCATCCCTGGTGGTGAAGGAAATGCAAATAAAGACAACCCTGAGATACCACCTTACCCCAGTCAGAATGTCCCACATCCACAAATCAGCCAACGACAAATGCTGGAGGGGATGTGGAGAAAGAGGAACCCTATTACACTGCTGGTGGGAATGTACACTTATACAACCACTTTGGAAAGCAGTCTGGAGGGTCCTTAGAAAGCTAAAGATTGACCTCCCTTACGACCCAGTCATACCACTTCTAGGCATCTACCCTGAACAACAGGAACCAATATACAAGGACACGTGCACCTCCATGTTTATTGCAGCACTGTTCGCAATAGCTAGGATATGGAAACAACCTAGGTGCCCCACCACAGATGAATGGATCCAAAAATTGTGGTATCTATACACAATGGAATATTATGCAGCCATTAGAAATGACAAAATAATGGCATTTGCAGGGAAATGGATGGAGCTAGAAGGAATCATGTTGAGCGAGGTAAGCCAAGAACGAAGAGACAAACGGTACATGGTCTCCCTCATAAGTGGATGCTAAATCCAAAAGGTTAGTGATACGACAAAACTAACAGGACTTAAGAAACAAAGAACTCCCGCTCATCTGGTTGAACCACTACTAAATATCCTCATGCTGCTGATCACAAATATGGTATATAACATGTGAACACTGTTATATATTACAGACTGTGGTAGACAATTTGCTCCAGGGAAGTTAGAATGAACTTGTGACTTTGAAATTATGTAATCATTTAATCACAATCAAAAAAAAAAAAAAAAAAAAAAAAGAACCTCGGGGAAGGGAGGGAGGGAGGGGATGGTAGGGGGAAAACAATGGAGGGGGTAACAATGTTCAAGAGGAAGTGTACTCATAACCTCACTCATGTAACTGTGACCCTCTGTATAGTAGCTTTACAATAAAAAAAAAAAAAAAAAAAAAAAAAAAAAAAAAAAAAAAAAAGAGGATACTTGAACAACCCTGAGACTGAGGGCCTCTTCAAATTTTGCATCCTGTTTACCATATTCTGGGCCAATAGAAGGCCAGGTAAATATTAAAGAACAGCTGGAAATTAAGCAGGAAGTGTAATCAGGGAACAAGCTTCAGAGAGCAGGCAGATCACCAGGCCCTGTGGATTTGGAATTTCATTTGATGAGTCAAGAGAAGGTGATTTGCTGCTTATTTGGGAGGATCATTCTGGTGTGAGAGCATAGAATGGACCCAGACTCAACAAGCAAGAGGAGAGGAGCTGGGAGAGTCATTAGGAAGCTGAAGTGGGGTGGGGATGGGGGACAGGGGGAGACGATCCGGGTTAGACACCGTGTACAACGGGAGGAAGGAGAGAAGATGTGAAACAGCATCAAAGAAAGGTTGGTATTTGACAAGCAGCTCAGTGAGGTGAGGAGGTGAGCAAAGAGACAAGAGTAAATGGAATCCAAGAATATATAGGGAGAAGAATAAAAGCAGTAGTAGATAATACAGGTGAGAAGGAACTTTGAAGATGGAGGGAGAGGTGAGCAGCGTCAAATGCTGCAGAAGTTGAAGATGTTGAAATTGAGGACAGTCAGGAGATTCACCAACTGGACCTGAGAGAGACGCTCCAGGAGGATGAGGAGGCAGGAATTAGACTGTAGTCACTTTGGGAGCTAAGGAACCATTACAGGGAAGGAAAGGTGGAGAAGAGAATTAAGATTCTTTTGAGGGTGGTATACTTAGGAGAAGAGTCCAATGGTGTAACTCCTCTGAACAACTAGTCAATTGTTTAACAAAATGAATAACAGGAAGTGGAAACATGTTGTCGGGGGAGGTATGATAGGGAGACATGAATGACTGCATTTGTAGTCATTAATAATCTAAGAACTAATCTAATAACTAATAATCTAATAATAACTAATTATCTAATCAGTCATTAATAATCTACGTTATATAAGTTATATAAAAATGGAACTGAATAACTTGAGTATAGAGAAGGAAAGGAAAAGTGGAGGAGAATGATAGAAGAGATGACATGGATCAAGATGCATTGTCCCAGGTGGGCTGGGAGGGATGGGAGAGAATGTTGAAAGGGATAACATTGATCAGGACACACTGTATTCATAAACTGCTCTGTTGAATGGCAACTACCTTGTACAACTACTTAAAGGTAATAAAATACTTTTTAAAGGATGCATTGTACTACTAATCTAACTTATAGAATTGTTACCTCTTTGTGCAACAACTTAATAATTTTGTAAAAAGAAAAGATTTCTTTGAGAATGCTGATGGTAAATGGAAAATTAGAGATTGATATGAGTCATGCTTACCATGGTTAAGAAAATATTTTCTGGGGCTGGGAAGGTGGCTCAGTGGTAGAGTGCTTGCCTTGCATGCCTGAGGCCCTGGGTTCGATTCCTCAGCACCACATAAGCAAAAAGAAAAAAGCCGGAAGTGGCACTGTGGCTCAAGTGGTAGAACGCTAGCCTTGAGCTGAAGAGCTGAGGGACAGCGCCCAGGCCCAGAGTTCAGGCCCCATGACGGGACCAAAAAAAAAAAAGAAAGAAAGAAAATATTTTCTGCCTGGGCATGGGTGGCTCACACCTGTAATCCTAGCTACTCAGAAAATTGAGATCTGAAGATTGTGCAGTTCAAAGACTGGGGGCAGACAAATCCAAAAGGCTCTTATCTCCAGCCAAAAATGGAAGTGGAGGGTGTGGCTCAAGTGGTAGAGCTCAGTCTTGAGTGAAACAAACAAACAACAACAACAAAAGCAAGCAAGAGCATGACGTCCTGAGTTCAAACCCCAGTACCAGCACACACACAAAATATTTCCTATAGACCCAAGGGAGAAGAAGGTGGAGAAGGAGATGCTAGGAGAGGCAGGCAGGCAGAAACAGTGAGTTCTGCTGGAGGGATGACACAGGGAAAGGGAGGGGATAAGATTGAGGGGAGAAGAAGAGGAGTTCTGCTTGTTGCTCAGGGAAGGCCAGCTAGGAGGCTTCTTGTGTTAAAATCCTAAAGGACAGTTTTCTTTCCTTCCCTCCTTTTTTCCCCTCCTCTCTCTGAGCACACTAGTTCCCAATATCCTAATTTCTGGCTTCCTTGTTCAAACAAAGAATGGCGATGCTTTCTTCCTGGACTTACCCAAAAGTTGCAGGGGTCTCACGGCAGCCTGAAGCTCCTGCACTTCCAGGCTGAGGGTGATGAGGGTCAGCAGGAGAAGGAAGCCTCCCAGCTTCATGATGCTGCTGAAGTCGTTGGTAAACAAACAAGAGGGTCACCTTTATAGCCTTCCACCCACTGAGGCTGGAATATAAGCCCAGAGTCTGGCTGGGGAAGCCCTAAGCCTCACCCAGAAACTGACATTGCTGGAGACACCCCAGATGTATCTGGGTAATGCCATGTTGCCTAAGCCAGACTCTGCACCAAGGAAACGCCCTCTTCTGATCAACCAATAAGACTCTGGATCCAGGAAGTCTGGGAAAGGCAGGGAGACTTTTATCCACTCATTCATTTTTATTCACTCACATTCAACACATGTATTAAATGCATGCTGTGGTCCAGGATGTGCTAGGCACAAAGGGGTATGTCCTTAGAGAAATGATCCCTCAGAAATGACAGACACTAGGTAGCAAGGGTGTGGTCTGCCCTTTCAAGTCTCTCCTCCCTTCTCCAGAAAGGTCACCCCTGTGATTGAGGGTGGGGAGGGGCAATGGGAGAGCTAGCAGAGGTGCTTTCCCATCATCTGATACTGGTAACTGGAGCTATGTGGTTTGCCTTCTGCCTGGGTCATTTTCTCTCTGGGCAGGTGCTGTGGTATGATAGGTATGATTTGGGGTGAGGGAGGATAGAGTTCCACTTCGCCTTGTCCAGCTTCGTTTCTGAGAGCCTGAACTCTGGATATTCTTGTGAAAGCCTCGTGGGATTTGTCTTATGCCGTAGCCTCGAGAAGCAGCTAGGGGTGAGCTATAGCCACCACACGGCCAGGCATGAGATTTCATTTCCTCCTTCTAGCCATTCATACCGCAGATGAGTGATTTCTCTAAGACACACACAGCACTTCGGTGTTTTGGGTGGGTTGGAACAAGCCTTCTTCCCCAAGGGGAAGCATGCATGACTTTTAACCATGAAAACTGTCTTACAAGCTACCTAATGTAGATGAGGGTACATGGGCTGGTAAAAGCAGCAGGACTAGTTTACAACCTCTTTGAGGACACTCCCCCACCCACGGCCAGGTGGCTGCTGCCCCGTGGCGGGGACGGGGAGACAGGAGAAGAGTGTAGAATGTTCCACTAGGGTCCCGCCTCCTGTTCCTGGGGCTGCAGGAACAGACCCTCCCTTTTGTGCCTTGCTTGTCACAGCTTCTGAAATGCCACCAATCCCTGAAATGCCACCAGTCAGAGATCCTTTGGGCATACAACTCCTGAGGGGACAAAGAGATACAAGTGTAAGTCATGCAGAAAGCAGTTGTGTGTATGTGTGTAGGTGCGCGCGCGCGCTTTTGCGCACATGCATGCCAATACTAAGGCTTAAACTCAGTGAAGAGTCTGAGGCCTGAGTGACTCCATCTTGAGCTAGCTGTCATCTCCTAAAGTATGAGTTATGCAGCTGACCATGAGCCCGGCCTGGGAATGAACAGAAGCAGCAATTCTTGGGCAGCTAGGAACATAAACAATCCTTGAGAAAATCGCGGGCAAGCAGGTGCTGGAGGGCATGGTGACCCTGCAGTCAGGCCGCAGGTGGTGTTTGTTTAAGAAAGGAACCCTGCAGTTTAGCACGTACCTCCTTGAGACTCCCTGTGGCGCAAGCCAACCAGTTTAAAGTACATCAGCCCTCTGATCTAACCAACAACCTGTTTCTGCTTTGTAGTGTGCCAATCATACTATAGACTTGTACTAAGATTTTCCCGCGATGCTATGATATATACAAAGTCCCTGCCTTCCATAAAAAGTGTATAAAAAGTACTATAACCCTGAGCTCGGGGCCTCTTAGCGTCACCGGTTACCTGGTGCTCAGAGGACCAAGCTCGAGCTTGCAATAAGGACTCCTTTGCTTTTACATTGGTGATGGTCTCTGATGGTTTTTTGGGTAAGGATTTCCGAATTCGGTTTTACATTCAGGCCTGAGTGCTTCCCTTAGTTTTTTTTTTTTTTCTTCTTCTTCTTCTTCTTCTCAAGACTGGTGCTCTACCACTTTGAGGCACAGAACCACTTCTGGTTTTCTAGTGGTTAATGGGAGATTAGAGTCTCACAGACTTTCCTGCCTGGGTTGGCTTTGAACTATGATCTTCAGTTCATACTCCTGAGTAGCTAGGATTACAGGTGTGAGACACAGGCATCCCACTAATATATCTTTTTCTTGCCCAGCTCAAGCTGTGCCTTGGACATAGAATTCCTTCTCCAAAGCCGGGCGCTGGTGGCTCACACCTGTAATTCTAGTTACTCAGGAGGCTGAGATCTGAGGATCTCGGTTCAAAACCAGCCCGGGCAGGAGAGACCATGAGACTCCTATCTCCAATAAACCACCAAAAAACTGGAAGTGGCGCTGTAGCTCAAGTGGTAGAGTGCTCACCTTGAGCTGAAGAGCTGAGGGACAGCGGCCAGGCCCAGAGTTCAAGCCCCACGACCAACCAAAAAAGAAAAAAGAAAAAAAAAAAAAAGAATTCCTTCTCCATTAATCCTGCATGTCCACATCCTGTCTATGAAAGCTCAAATCCTTCTTGTCTATAAAGGCTTATCTGTCATCCTAGATCAAATATCACCTCTGCAACTTTTCTCAGCCCAACCCCTGGGAGAGTAACTTTCTCTTAGTATTTATCACATTCATGTATACTTAGTTATGATTATTATCACCTTTTATTTCTCTCCTGTCAGTATCTTGATGGCTAGGATGAGGTATTACTTAACTTCTGTCTTCAGTGCTCAATGAGAGTTGTTTATTATCTTCAGCAATTATTAAATTGTGTGTAAGAGAGATGAGTAGAGATTTTTACTAAATGGCAAGGATAGAGTGAATGAAAGAGTAGGAGAGATTTAGAGAGACAAAAGCTGAGGATGGGTCTGCAGAGGACCCATAGTGGGGTCTTTTAGTTCCCTTTGTTCCATAAAGTCACCAACAGCTGTGAGGACGCAGGTTTGGACCTGAGGAAATTTCCACTGGACTCCTCTTTCCAGATGTATGATTGTAGGCAACAGTTCATGTTAGAAAATGAAGAGCTGTATTCATTTTTGAACATTTATTGATTTTTTTTCTGGGGTGTACCAAATGCTGGCAGCCATGGTTCTTGTCCTTATAGAGCTTCTACTTGAGTAGAGGTGGGCAGATGCAATTGGAACCATTGCTTTGAGAGACAAAGATAGAGTTTCATTTATACAAATAAACTTGAAATGGAGACCAAATGCCACCTCTTTTCCCCAAGACTACCAAGAGTGAAACATTTTCATTTCACAGAAATGATTGGGTTTCCCACCTGCAGGAATCAGCAGCCCCCCAAAAGGTTTCCCAGTTGCATATGATTCTCCTCAATATCTTGTGCTGCCAGTTAAATAAATATATAGGCCTTTGAATTTGAGGCGCCATTGTACTTTGGAAGCCCACACCTGGTCTCCATATAGGCATGTACTATTATCGCCATTTGACAGATGAGGACAATTAGGGGTCTTGTGCATGGTAGGCAAGCACTCTACCATTGAGCTACACCCCCATCCCTTACAAGCAATCATATAATTTCTCTACAAGAAGATGAAGCACACAGCAGTTGTTTAGAGGGAACTGTCCTTACCCAAAGGACTCCTAGTCCTGATGAGAACCTTTCAGGACATCATTTCCAATAACAACTAATGAATATTCAGCTGTTCCACATACCAGCCTCTTTTCTCCCCACACTCTGAAACACAGGTAGTAGTTCAAGGCGAAGGTTATTGGCAGGGCCTGCAAGATAAGATCTGGACACCATGAGAATGAATGACAAACAGATGTCTTGCCATAAACACATTGGCATCCTGTACCAGCCCTAGATATCACAGCAGGTGAGAACCTGAGTTCCACAGCCAGACCATCTGCACTCACATCCTGACCCCAATTGAGTCCATAGCTGTGTGATGGAAGAAGAGTTATTTAATACCAACAACATGTTGTCATGTGAGGTCCCTTTATGGCCATGGCCATGGACAGAAAGACAGGATGAGAATTACCCACTATCTCCCATTTAGCTGGACCAGCATTTCAAGACATAAATATTCAGAAAGTCACTGAATCTTGTTTAGATTGAATGATGATTGGTATATTTTCTTTTTTAAAATATAATATTATTGTTATTATTACTATGTTGTACAGAAGGGTTACTACAATGATGATATATTTTTGTACAAGCTCTATGAGTTGGCTCTGCACACCCACCTCCTGGCTTTCCAAGAAGAAAATGCCTCCCCTTTGTCAAAACCATTGGAGAGGCTCTGGAAGGTTCTAGGCTGAATAAATTGGCTTGAAATATTCTATGGGGAAGCAGACTCCTTCCATGTAGAGAGTGAAATTGAAATGTGGGAGAGAGGTATAAGAGTAGAGCAAGCCTACCTTCTAGAAATTGCTCCAGAAACCATACTTGTGCTACCTCATCAATTCTAGCTCTGCAATTCCACCATCATACAGGAATCTAGGGAAATCTCAACTGGAAAACCAAGTAAGTGGATACCAGTTCTCTGGCACCAGGGTAAGAAAAGAAAGCAAGGCAAGAGGAAAAAGGAGCAAATAAAACCTCACATTATGCCTCAGTGAATCCCACATTGTCGCACTGAGAGGACTCCATGTCATCATTTGTAATTCCTGTGTGAAACTTTTCTTTATGGGACTGTCCTGGTTTCCGACCATTTTCCCCACAATTCTTTTTTTTTTTTGGGGGGGGGGAGTGTCCAGTCGTGGGGCCTGAACTCTGGGCCTGGGCGCTGTCCCTCAGCTCTTCAGCTCAAGGCTAGCACTCTACCACTTGAGCCACAGCACCACTTCCGGCTTTTTTCTTTTTGGTGGTACTGAGGAATCAAACCCAGGGCCTCAGGCATTCAAGGTAAGTGCTCTACCACTGAGCCACCTTCCCAGCCCTTTCCCCACAATTCTGCCTCTGTGGAACTGATTTCTTTCCTATTTTCCTATGGGCAGGGAAGTATGAAAGTAAAGAGACCTAAATTCTGGTCCTAACCCTACCTTCTCACTAATAATGAAACCACAGGCAGATTGTGACTCTACTCTGGACTTCATTCATGACAAATGACAAGATAGTATACTTCCTGAGGGACAGTGGCTCCTTGGAGAAGCCTCAGCCTTCCTGCTCAGCTGCTGAAGCAGGGCTTCCTCTAAGGATACTGAGCCTCAGTAGAGCTCATCTCTTGGGAATATGTTCACTTCACTCTAGGATTCTCCTGAGAGAAGCTTGGCTCACCTTCTAGAATGTTCCATTCTCCTCTGCACTGAGCTGTAAGGAGTCACAATCAGTGACTCTCTCAATTGGTAGCTGTAGTGGTTTCCTGTTGCAGCTGCAACAAATTACCACAAATTTAGAGTCTTCAAACAACATAAAGCTATGAAAGCCAAAATCAGTTTCA